TCTACAGCAAAATCATGTTATGTGGGAGGATTTCTCAGCTATTTCCCAAGGACTGAAATATAATGTTTTTTCTCTTTGAATTGGCAGGATCTGTGGCTCCCAACAGCAAGCCCATTCCAAAAGGAGGGCCAAAGCAGAACCACAGAGAGGAGTGCATGGGCAGGAATAGGAGCAGGGCTATAGAGGACCCACCTGCTGGGATGGAGAGGAGGAACCAGAAGCACCTAGATTTCTTCTGGGCAAGACAGGACCATTCCCTTGCTCAGGAGAAGACTGGCTGGCTGATTTTTGGAAGAGGAAAGGCATAATAAGGAATGGGAGCATTCCCTTAATGGAGTGGTTAATAGGGTTGATGGCTGAGTGCAGCATTCACCTGCTGCCAAAGCCTCAGCTACAACCTATCAGGTGCCTTCTCATGCCACTGGCTGCCACTATGGAGCAATACGTCCTCTGACTGGAAAGGAGGACAATGCTGGGTCTTCTGGAATCCAGGAACAGCAGCTTGTACCAGACCCCAAAACTCCTTGGAGGAGATGTATCCGCATTTCCCCAAGAGACATTTTCACCCAGGATTCACCCCTTCTGAGGAGGAGGAGGAGAAGGGGAAGGAGGCCAAAGGCAATAAATGGTGGGTGGTGTTCATTGTGCTCAAGTTATTTTTACAAAATGCATTGTTCTGTTTTGCACAAAATTGCAGTGACAATATTTTTCTAATAATTTTGTTTCTGCAGTTTTGTTACTGGTTTATACATTGCCCCTATTTACTACGGTTTACTGTTATTTAAAGGTGTTTTCCTCTTACAATAAAGAACCATCTGCTATCTCTTAGTAAAAAGCAACAGTGGGTCCTGTGGCACCTTTAAGACTAACAGAAGTATTGGGAGCATAAGCTTTCGTGGGTAAGAACCTCACTTCTTCAGATGCAAGTAATGGAAATCTCCAGAGGCAGGTATAAATCAGTGTGGAGATAACGAGGTTAGTTCAATCAGGGAGGGTGAGGTGCTCTGCTAGCAGTTGAGGTGTGAACACCAAGGCAGGAGAAACTGCTTCTGTAGTTGGATAGCCATTCACAGTCTTTCACACACTGTGTTTCAGTTCCTCATCTCTAAATGGGAATAACGTTT